GTACGTGTGTGTGTGTGTGTACACACAAAAAAAAATCCTCTACATAGATACATCTTAATAAAACTATGGCTGTGTTAACTTATAAAATATAATTCTTATTATATCTTGAAGTCTATGTCTTGGGATAAAAACACTATATTTTCCATTTAAGTCTTGAAGTAAATTTTATCATTAAGCAGGGAAGCAGTATAAACAGTTAATAACATAATAGCACTAGGGCTCACCAGACCTGAGTTCTAATCCCAGCTTCACCACATACAGGCTGAATGACCATGGGCAAATTACTAGTCTCATTGAGCTTCAGTTTCCTCCTCTATCATTAAAAGAAAATGATACTTCACAGAAGTCTTGTGAAAGTTCCATGTGATTATACATCTTTTGTAAGTTTTAGTGCTTTTCCTCTCCTATTCCTGGTGCCCCTTGCTATCTCACTGTTATCTTCACGTATGCTTATGAAGAAGTGTAGATTGTTTTTCCTTGTTATGTTGGAAAAACACTAAAACAAATTAATAGAGAATTCATACACTTGAATATGATATCTTTGCCTATGAATTTCCAATTCATTCCTTTTCATTCTGAGCCATTCCATTCTGAATATAGCTTAATGCACATTGATTCTTTACTTTGTAAAAATAAATTCTCCTTCTTATTTTTTCCTCTTATAAAAGATACCTCTCAGACAAAAGGATATAGACTTTGGATTGATAAAATGTCTCTGTAAAGGATGGGGCAGAACAAGCATATTACAAATCTCAATAAAGTGTTACCTCTTGTTCCCAAACACGTTCAGAAGTTCCTTGCATTCATTTTGCTGTTTCATATCTCTCCCACTAGCTCACAAGATTCTTTGGCCTTTCTCTTCTTGTAGAGTGGTTGGAACCTACTTATGCAGCCACACTTAGCTCATTTCCTGTTCTCCACTAAAGTTTCTTGCCTGCTACTCACCCCCACCTCTGCCCCACCCGCCATAGAAAAAATCATTTCCTCCTTTCTGCTCCATTCTACTTTAACCACCTTCTAATGTGGTTCCTCTAAGCATGATTTCACTGCTGACTGTCTTTGTTCACCAGATGGTAGGGCCCAGAATCCAGTACCACAAGCAGTGTCTCATTCTCTTGGAGAGAATTTTATATGGGTGCTTCTTACCACAGAGCTTTACTGCAGATCCAGAGGCAGGATCTTCTGCCTTGGCCCTGATCTAATTATCTAATTCTAGTGTACCACCTACAACTGAATGTGTGTGTGTGTGTGTGTGTGTGTGTGTGTGTGTGTATTATACGAAAGGTAATATATCATAGTGGTTCGGTATCAAATTATCTGGATGTGCACCCTAATTCTATCAACTTACTTCTCAGATGACTATTTACTGCTTGATTTTGGGCAAGTTACTTCCCTGTGCCTCAATTATCTCAACTGTAAAATGAGATCATGATAGTGCCTTCTTGCAGGAATATTATAAAGTTTAAATGGAATATTATAAAGTTTAAAGCTTAAAACAGAGCCTGGCACTAGGAAGCACTCAACCAATGTTAGCCATGATTATACTTAAATAATAATTACCTAAATAAGTAGGAAATCCCAACAGTCAATAGATCTAATTTCTCAATTTAAAGTGTTTACGGATTTCATCCACTTATAGAGAGGTAAATGTGGAAGCTCATAATGGTTAAATTTGTTTTGAGGACAGGCTTTAAAAGGCTTCTCTCCTATATGAATTTTCTCTGCACATCACCTCATAAGACACAGAGATTATGCATCTTCTGCCAAGGAAAAGTCCATATAATATTAATTTTATATTTATCTTTCAAAGTGTAAATGATTCCTGTAGGATCCAGCTCTGTAGGCCAGTACTAATTGGCATGGTTCTCTCATACTAATTTCCATGCCTCTCTGAATTGAAACTAACTTTTTAAAACCTGCTGCAGTGTTTTAACCAAGATTCATCTCTAAAACACCAAATCACCTTCAGTCGCATTAAATCACAGTCAAGGAAAAACAGCACCTATGGACTCACAGAGAATAATTCTGAAAGAGTTAAGGGGTTGACTTTTTCACTAATGGGCTAATTCACTTACTGCTGTTCAACTTCACATGTCATGGGATCAAATGAATTGCAAGTATGATATTAGATCAACTCACCCAGGAATGTGAATTTTTCTTGCTCCTTTATCTTTTTCAAGTAAATTAATAATGAATGTCTAGTAGCCAAAATTACAGCTCAGTTGAGGTTATTTTTACTACTGAACTATTCTAGTAGTACATCCAGTCAAATTGGAAATTGGAAAATTTTGCTGCTAAAGGGATTTTCATGCACAGTTTAATAATTCAGCTACCTATAGCCCTGGGCAAAATGCATAGCTAGCAGGCTGTTTGTCGGCAAAGTCATAGACAATTTAAATTATATTAATTTAAATTGTGAATGCTCCCCCCCCAATAAGTGCTGGAATTATCTCTGAAAAGGCAAGGGGTTTAGGGCATTACTGCAGCATTTTTTCTTTACCACGAGTGCTTTTTCATCTTGGAGACCTATTTAAATTTGGTAATCAGTTATTTTAGGGATGGGAAAAAAAAAAAAAACAAGGAAAGCACACCCATTGTAACTGGGCTACAACTATTTTCACCTAATCCCCAGCCCTGCAGCATCTCTAGAACCAGATGTTAGATGAGAAGGGTTACTTTTCTAAATGTTAAGCATTGCTAAGTAAATTATCTCAAAGGTCTATTTAGTAAGAATTCCAAGAAGTCAAGTATTTCAGTATTGAACTTTATCAAGTAATTACTTTTCATTTATTTAATTTTTGAGCATCTATTTTGTGTGAGGCATTACTCTAGGCAGTTGGGACACATCAATGAATAAAGTTGTCAAAGGGTTCTGTCGTTGTGGAGTTCAGATTCCATTGTGGGGAAGGGCAGGGAAACAGATAATAAACAACAAATGTAATATACGCTTTTGGTATATCAGAAAGTGATATGGGGAAAGAAAACTGGGGAAAGTTAAATTTCGAGTTGGGGAAGGGGCTGCAGTTTGGAGTGGTTTGGGGTAAAATGGTGGTGCCACGAAATGGAGCCCACCACACCCACGTGGGGAAGTAGAGGTGTGGCAAGAGAGGGGGTGCGTATGTCTCTATTTCAGCAGAGAAGACCTGGCAAGGTATTAAAAATGCATCTTATTCTCCCCTTCTCCCACCTGTTGGAGTGCAATTCCTGGCCTTGTACCTGAGAGCTGGAGATGAAATAAATTATTTAAAAACAAATGATACTGCCTGAGCTCTCAGGTCCTATGAGATCTGCCTAATTTAAGCTCTGATGGGTAGCCTGTTTCCCATTAGTTGTCCCAATTCGCAAGGATAGAGAAGGAAGGCATTGAATGAGATATACAGCTCAATTCATTGAGCACTTATTAGCCCCTCTCATTTGGCTAGTACAATTTTATTCAATTAAATTGAATGCAAAATGCAGAAGTTCTTATGGAGCCTTCAACTGTGTTGTAAGACAAACCACAGATAAATGAACTATCTGAAAGAAAAATATGAGGTGATACTAAACAAATGTGTGGAACAGAAAGATCACAATAATCTAGAGTTAGTCCAGGGCTTTCTGGAAAAGTGAGACCAAGGTTAAACCTTTGAAAGCTCTAGTGTGGTGGTGGGGATGCAAGTAGAGGCAATTAGGGAAGAGGTAACAGCATCCATGAAGACAGAAGCAGAAAAGTCAGCAGTCCTGGGGTAGTTAAAGGGGAGAAGTCTAGATGAGGGACTTCTTGACTGGGAGAAATTAGCCACTAGACTAATAAGGATTTCCATGTTCCAAAGACTTAGATGGCAGACTAAAAACTATCCATATTAGACATAGTGTGGTAGCGTCTCTAGAGAGACGAGCTAGAGGAGCCTAGTTGCTGGAAGTGATTCTATTATCTTTCACCTTAAAGAGTAAAATGGAGACTAAAGATAATTATATACATATATAAAAACAAAAAAAGTGCCTTCTTTTGCTTCAATTACATGGGTATATTCTACTAGTCTAAAAGTGTGACCTCACGTCTTTCTGTCACTATAATCATGGACTTTGCACTTGAGTCAGGAGAAAGTTTAAGTACAGGGATTGAGCTGGAGAGAGGGGAAAAGAAGCAAAGAGGGGAAGCAGTTAGGAAGGAAGAAGGCATCCCCAGGATACATGGCTACTGCTTACACCAAGCAAGCTGCCTTGGGAACGCTCCCCCAAGCAGACCAGAATATTCAGCAGTGGAACACACCTATATTCCTGTAGGCGAGCCCTGGGTAGCTGATCGATCTGCAAACATCAATTCCCAGCAGTGAGCTCGCTCGGTGCACGTGTAAGCCAAGATTTGGGGAAGAAGTAGGGTGGATGGCGTGGTTGACACTCTCCTCAGCTCCCTCCTCTGGTTCCTCTGGTCATGCCCCCATCTAGTTCCACTCTACTCCACCTCATCCCCGGATTTTTGATGGACTGTCTATCCTTAATAACCGCCTCAAGCGGCCCCCGGCGGTGGAGCCTGCTCCCCTCGCAGCCGCTGCGAAGACCCGGAGAAGTGGAATTTCACTTTGAAACTCCGTGCCGCGTGAGGGCCGGCGCTGGGCATGCTCAGTAGCCGCGGCGCGTCTGGGCTGCTGCTCGCACTGCGCTGGCTGCAGCGCTGCTGGGCTCCGGGGCTGGCGCGGAGTCCACCCTGCCGTCCCCGCCGCGGCTGCTGGGCGTCCAGAAGGCCAAGCATTCGCCGTCTCTGAGCGCCTGGGCCCCGCCTGGCGTCTGTTCTCCGCACCCGCAACCTCCTACTCTTCTTCCTCTCCCCCTCTCTTACGGAGGTGAAGCTGGTGCTTGTTTCTGTTAGGCACCACACAGAACGCTCTGCAAACCCCAGCCGAGGATCTGCGAGCGAATCCCGGAGACCAGAAAACCCTCGGCTGTGGCTCTTTCTGATAGCACTTTGCCTGAAGTGGGGTCGTGGCAGAGTTTCTCCTGCACCTCTCAATGCAAACACTATGCGGAGAGCAATCAGCTTCCCTGCGCTGTGCCTGCTTCTTAATCTTCATGCTGCAGGTAAGGGGTTGCCAGGCGTAGAGCTGGAGCTGTGGATGAAATAGGAAACTGCACATGCTTGAGGACTCTAGGAAAAGCATGCCTCGCAAAAAAAGCCTTAGAAAGGTAAAGCAGAACAGTACCTGACAGGGAAGGGGTGAGGAAGCCGTGCACCTGTTGGAAGACTGAGGCTAAAAACTTAAGCTAAAATTAGCTCTTGATTTTTCTTTACCTTGTTCAAATAACGGTGAACATTTTCAATATGAATACAGGTTTGCTTCCCCCTTCCCCTCCCCTCCATATAGACTCCCTGCTCCTGTTTCTAGGCTATGCACTTAACTGCCAATTTTTCAGGAGAGGGACAAGACATCCTGCTAGATATAACCTTTTCTACTGCAGCGGCCACGTTCGTAAGATCTCTTAGTTTAAGGAGCGCTCACAGGGAGGCATTTGCTGTAACCTAATGGGCCACATCTCCTCCTAAAAGATTGAAATACATGGTTTACATTAATGATGCTGCTCCAGGCTCCTTTGGCCCCTGCTCTTGTCACTCGAATTTTCTAAACCAATAAGAGGAAGGAAAGGTTTCAACTAGAATCTTCTTTCTCTTTCAGCACCATGGCCAGCGTCCTCAGGCACTGAACAAAAACCCAATCACAGTTTCAAAGCTGACAACCCTGGAGTAGGCACAGACCCTAGGACATATTTGATGAGTTCTAACCAATAGTAACAATGAGACTGCTCCCAAATATAAATAGATTTGATACCAGAACCAATATCAAGTCTCATATGGAAATAAACCTTAGGAAATACCTGGGGAATTTTATATGTGGTTTCGCTGCTTTTTGGATACACAGCACCTCTATGCAACACACAGACTTGCTGGACTGAATCCCTTATTATTTTTACACACACATGAACCAAAATAAAATATGGCAGAGAGATTTTAGAAACCCTACTGCGACAACAGTTGTCCATGCAATAGTCCTGTAACAATCAAAAACTAGGCATTTTCCTTGAGTTTGCTTCTCATACAATCACACATATTCATTCATTCCTTCAACTAACATTTACTGAGTGTATACTACGTTCTAGAAGTAATGAGTAAAAATAATTCTTGTGAAATTAAAAGTCCTGTGTTATCTTTGTAAAAAAGAGTGGGTGATTTTTTATATGTGCAACAGTGGGGCTGAAATATGGTACTATTTAAATGCATTGTGAATATTTTGAGTAAATAATGTATAGGAGCATTAAATCCCCTATAATTAAGTACATATGCTAATTGTTATAATTATGATGTTATACTGTGGGTTTTCAATAGTTCTTTGGTATCTTTTGAAAATTAGAAAATAGCTATGACTTGGTCATTAAATTATTTGCAAACAGCTGTAGTGAATCCTTTCATTACTACATACAATTCTCTAATGGTGAAATATGGGATGGAAACATACACATGGGCTTGA